CTCAGAGTTGGTAAGACCAACTCAGAGTTGGTAAGACAACTCCCACCTGTTTATGCTCTCTGTATGTGTGTATATATATCTCCTCAATATATGTTCCATTCTATATGCATCCGAAGAAGTGGTCCACGAAAGCTTATGCTCTAATAAATTTGTTAGTCTCTAAGGTGCCACAAGTTCCATCAATATTATTATTCAGTGAAAACTTTCCCCCTACACAAAGGTCACCAGCACAACTTGGAAAGGGAGCACTCCGCAGATTTTTAGCTTCTAGAAGTTTAAGTTTCTGGCTTCAGAAAGTCTCAGGGGCATTCAAAGAAGAACGCCTACATGGGGAATATAAAATATTTACCTCTTCTCTAGGGCATTCCCATGCAACAATCACAAGATGCAATCTCATTATTTGCACTATGTTCAGTGGCCATTACGAGCTTAGCTTTTTCTTCGAAAACTACAGCAACCAAGGTATCACAGACAAAAACAAGACAGGTTTCAGAGTAGCAGTCGTGTTAGTCTGTAACTGCAAAAAGAACAGGAGTACTTGTGGCACCTTTGTTAGTCTCTAAGGTGCCACAAGTACTCCTGTTCTTTTTTTAAAAACAAGACTGCACAGGAAATAATGGCCCATCTACCCTATGAGCAGCTATATAGCTCGGTCCTGCTGTCTCCCTCTACCTGTCATAAAATACAGGTCGCTGGTTTTGGCTTACAAAGGATGTGTAACTATACTTCAGTATATTTGCAAAATTCATAAACGTTTGTTAACTACAAAAAGTACTAAATGGGTGCCACTGGGTACCAGTCAAGATTTACAGAACTGAAATCAACTAGCTGAAATTAAAAAGTGAGGCGAACACTAAATCAGAATTTAAAATTTTACTGGTAGGCTGCACTACATCAACCCACATTAAATTTCTACACCTCACCGCCACATGTTCCTTAAATGCCAATGTCAATAAGACAAAAATGCATTCCAACATCTCAAAAAAAAATTATGGAAAGTTTTGCATGGAAATAAATTCCCTTCACACTGAGCAGAAGTAACCTTCACCTATGACATTGCAATGTCTAGTAATTAGAAGATAAAACAGATATTTTGTGCAGGGGATTAGGGAAAAAGGGCCTTGCAGGAACAGGAGCCTAACATGCTTCAGAAGGAAGGTGAATTTTCACAGGATCATTGAGAATCTGTTAGTCTTTAAGGTGCCACCGGACTCGTTGTTTTTGTGGATACAGACCAACAGGGCTACCCCGAATACTTGACAGTCCTTTACTTAATCACTGCTTCTTGCATGCCAATGAGTGCCACTGGCTAAGTGATCTGGTTCTTACAAGTCACACATCTCACATTCTTGCTGATAAGCTTATGCAACTATAAGTAAGCTTAATTTCAAGTTAAGTTAAAAGGCAGTTCCCATGAGAATGTCTCCCCTTAGACTGCCTTTAAAAAAAAATAAATAAATAAAAAGAGCAGAGATTCTTGTATTGTATCCAAGGTCCACCAGTTCAGAGGGATTTTAAATCTTGAAAGCACACACACACACTCCACTCAGATAGTTAACCTAGGACAATTTGTACGAGGAAGCGCTGGGGGGGAAGGGAGGTGTGGAAAAGTGCCTGGGGGTGATGACTGTCTCAGTGAAACACAATGCAAAAATCCTTCCTCACAAGGGAGAGCTTTGGTAATTCACCTCCGCCCAGCCCCCGTGAAGCAGGGCTGTGACACTGACGAAGAAGTGCCAGGCTCCACGGCGTCTCCTGCGGGGGGCTCGCAATGCCCTGCCAGCCCCAATGCAAACACAAAGGCGTCTGCCCTGCCCAGCCCAGCACATACCTTTCATCCTCCATTGTGCGCAGCCGGACTGGAGCCTGAACTCTGCATGCACTCCAGCCCTCTCGCAATCCTGCGGCCGCGGGCAGGCAGCGGGCTGGAGGGATTAATCAGCGCCGGTGATTCAGCACGGCTGCAGTCGGACGCTTCAGAGCGGCTGCCTCTCACTTGCTCCTAAAGCAGCAGCAGCTAATGCAGCAGCCCCAGCGCTCCTTACCCAGAGCTCCCTGCAGCTGCCGCTACTGCTGCGGCACCAGCCCCCTCCCTCCTCCTCCCCTCCCCCCTTCCCTCCAAGCTTGCTACTCGGTCTCCTGGCAACAGCAACTGCGGGAGCGGTGTGAAGTTTACACCTCTCCAGCGGCTGCAGCTGCACAATGCATCCTCCGGTCTCTGTAGCACCAGCCAGGGATTTTGTCAAGGGCGGGGGGGGGGAGACAGGGAGAGTCTCTGGCTTGCCACATGCCTATACCCTCCAGCTGCAGGGAACCTATTTCCCCAAACACACACTCCCCTCCACTACTACACTTCAAAAAGGTGCTAGTTACCCCCACCCTCACCTCTAAGACCTTTGCATGGCTTGTCCTACCCTAGGCATTGCCCAGCCAAACGGGGAGAATGGTCCCCCCACTTCCCACTCAGATCTGCAGCTGTCCCTTTTAAAGGCTGTAATTCACACAGTAGAAATCATTGCAAATGTAAGAGAACCAGTCAACCGATCATGGACCAGATCTGATTCTAATGGCTATTAAACTAGTAAATGTAATTGCTTTGGAGCAAATCCAGGTAGGACACCGGACAGTGACATTCCTGCTTGAGGAGCAACTGTGTTCGTCACAGATTTCTAGGCCAGAAGGGATCTTCTAGTCTGATCTCCTGTACAGCACAGACCACCGAACTTCCCCAGAATAATTCCTAGAGCAGCTCTTTTAGAAAAAAACATCCAGTCTTGATTTAAAAATCTCCAACGAGGATGAATCCACCAAGACCCTTGGTAAATTGTTCCCATGGTTAATTACTCTCACTGAATTTAGATCTGTGACATCCTCTGAAGCAGATCTATATATGCTCTCTCTTCTATCATTCCCATCTCCTCAGAATCTGAACCCCTAGCCTCCAGGGGAGGAGACAGGTCAGGAGCATGACTAGTTATGGGCCCCATAACTACACACATCCCTGGTATAAGAGCAGGAGCAGCAGATGTGGCTGCATTGTACCAGTGGTGCCCTTCCCCCGAGCTACAGTACAACTCTCACGTGGTGCCCCCATTCACACTCACTTGACAGGGAGCAGGGGAGCACTTGCCTCTAGCTTCTATTTTTATAAAAATACTGCAGAAAAGGCCCTAAACACTGCCGTAAAATGACTAAACTACAGTGATTTGGACCACTATTGTCAAATACTGTCACATTTGACTAAGGAGGTTTCCTTTTTCAAATGCTTTTCCCTATTGTTTCTCTTTTAAAAGAGCTCTGCCCTGTAGGTCCATCTTTGCCAAATACCCACCAACATGCCATCTGGGGTAAAATTAGGATGCATACACCAAAAATAACCTGCAACCCAACTGGACACTGACCTTGTAGTACTAAAGAGCACAGGAACCACTGTCAGTGTATTATATAAGCTTATTACAGTATATTTGGTTATAATGCAGAATACTGTAGGATTTCTTAACAAAACAGACTAATGGGGTATTTAGCCCTCCCCTACAGATGTATAGTATGCATATTATACAAGGCCAAATGTAACTCACTCTTTGGTAGAGAAAATGCTTCTTCTGGACTTCAGGTGCAAGTCAGTTCATGCCCTGAAGCATGTGATTCAGTAACTCTTGCTAGGTTTACCCCCAGTTAATATAACTGCAGATGCTACACCTCATTTTAATCATTTATTAATTTCATTAAGTTTTTTTCCTCCACCATACTCTCTGGCAGTTAGCTCCAGAAACTAAAGTATTTACTTTCTTCATTAGATGAAATGAAAAAGCAACGTTCTTACACTATGGAAAGAGATGGTTTTATATGGCACAGCGATAGCACTTACTATCTTCTAAACGGTCTCCTTTCTAAATGAAATAATCCTAGTCTTTAAAATTTCTCATACAGTTGCATTATCCCTGCCCTTTTTGTTCCCCATCTTTGTTCCATGTCTTTTAAAATGTGTTGGTAATGGCAAGTTAATAATTTACACTTCTACAGAGCCTTTTAACAGAAGCTCTTTGAAAATATTCAATATCGAAACAAGGTTCTAGCATCCCCATTTTACAGCTGAGAAAACTTAGGACACGTCGGTTAAATGACTTGGCTAAAGTCACACAAAGATGCAGCGTTCAGAATAGAATCAAGGTCTCCCAACCATCCAGTCCTACAGTTTAAACGAGTTCAGCTGTCTCCCCATAGATAGAGAAAACAGAGCATAAAGCAGAGTTGCACACAGGATTCAGAAGAACACTGAGGATGTTTTCCCTTTGAAAATACCCTTTAACTGAGTGAAAAGATCCTCACCAAGACCCTAATGTACATTCCAAGTGCCCATTCAATCACGTTCTCATGGCATATGGTATACAAGGTAGTGAAAGCATCAGAGTTCAAGGCACATGGCAAACACTAAAAGGAAATAATTTATTTAGAAACGGAGGGTCCAGGCCTGCTCCCATGGAAGTCAATGGCAAAACTTCCAACTGATTTCTAGACAAGCAAGAGCAGGCCCTGCCATTGGTGCCCAATGCCAACCCCCTGAGCAGCGTACGTTTATCAAACAAAGAGCTATCATAACAAAACATCAGCCTTTCAGCCAAAGACCAACAACAGAACATCCCACCTCAACCAGCCTAGTACCTATGACTGAACGAAACCAACAACCCTTTAAATGCTCTGTTAAACAGGTATATTTAATACTGAACCTTGAATTCCCTCCAATGGGAATGGCTTCTCAGAGCTATGAAGTGTTAAATCCCAAACAGAGACAGTGGGTAGTAACTCCTGGGATGGGACAGAGGCAAGTTCTAGTAATCAGTGATTGTCTTTACAGCAGCCTTGCAAAATAGTCTTGACCGTTTTACACAAGGCACATAATTGCTTGCTTACCATTTACTGCAAGGACTGATGGCCATGAAAATGTGGATATTTTACTCTGCCAAAAAAGTTACTCAGGGTGAATGGAATTTTTCAGGGCTGATTTACAGTGCTCCTAGTAAAACTGGAACTGGGTGTGTAATACCGGTACCTTCCTACTTGGCATGTGTGGTTGTGTTTCCAAATCTGCATCTTGACAAATACTCTGGTCTACTTTTTTTTTTTTAATTTAGAAAAAAAAATTTGGAGTCCATAATCCCAGTCTGTAAAAACACACAAGGCACACTAAACACGGATATTGAGGTGAACTGAGATCATAAACTCTTCAGGGCCCGGACCATCAGCTGAATGCAACTTGTGAAATGGGATGCCATGCCTCCATTTTTGGGTGCCCAAACTGAGACATCTTGGGCCTGGTTTTCAGAGGCTCTCTCACACAGTACAAATTGACTTCAAGAGAAGTAGGAGTGCTGAACACTTCTGAAAATATGGCCTAATTATCTCACTTTGGACACCCAGCACTGCCATCATTAAAAACCAAAACCAGTTGGGGGGGGGGGGATTTTGTCCTGTGTCTTCACTCATTTTATGAGGTGCTTAGCACATCTTTGGCATCTGAAAAAATAATATTCAAACTTGACAGAACTCAAAGAATGCAGCCAATCTTTGTCCTCTCTCCTGAGAGGAACAAAAGTAAAATGACAACCAAAACATCTAACATATGAATATGACGACATCATAAGGCCCCAAATCATCGGAATACTCGAGAGAAAGGTCTGGGAAGGGCTCAAGATAAGGATTTTTTCAGATCAGCCAATTAACGGGTTTTGGCAGCGAAAGCATAGGAGGTAGAAACATTGGCATCACCTTTGCTTTAAGCTTTTGCCTTCCATGATACATTGTCTTCAAAGCCTTTTTCAATGTGCCAGTATTCTTTCTCCACAAGCAACTAACGTGAGGCTCGAGCACTGGGCCCCAGACTGAGATGCAAAAGAATCTTTTTATGGAATGTTTATTTTTTTAAACTGACTGTTGCCCTCTAGTGGTGGATGTATATTTTTACACTAATCCTGTTTTCCACTAGTTCACAAAGCCACACTTGTTTAAAAAAAAATAATAATATTTTTCTAGTATCGGGGGGGGTAGCCATGTTAGTCTGTATCCACAAAAACAACAAGGAGTCCGGTGGCACCTTAAAGACTGCATCTGAAGAAGTGAGGTTTTTTTACCCACGAAAGCTTATGCCCAAATAAATCTGTTAGTCTTTAAGGTGCCACCGGACTCATTTTTGAACATTTTTCTAGTCTGGGGAACGCAGGAACATTCCTTTATTTTTAATTTTAAATGATCCGTGACTTATGCCGATCATTCCCCCTTACATTTAGGATTTAAAGATAAGTGGCCAAGATTACAACCTAGCTATGAATTTTGGGTGAGGTAATAGCTTGTATTGGACCATCTTCTGTCAGTAAGAAAAACTTTGGAGCTACACAGATCTCTTCTTCAGGTTAGGAAATGTAATCAGCGTGACACAGCTAAATACAAAGTGGAACATATTGTTACGCATCAGGAGTTAACACATGTCCCAAGAGACCTATCCTAAGTGCAGGACACTGCACTTGAATGAAGAATCCCATGCACTGCTACAGACTAGGGACCGAATGGCTAGGCAGCAGTTCTGCAGAAAAGGACCTGGGGTTACAGTGGACAAGAAGCTGGATACGAGTCGACAGTGTGCCCTTGTTGCCAAGAAGGCTAATGGCATTTTGGGCTGTATAAATAGGGGCATTGCCAGCAGATTGAGGGATGTGATCATTCCCCTCTGTTCGACAATGATGAAGTCTCATCTGGAATACAGTGTCCAGTTTTGGGCCCCACACTACAAGAAGGATGTGGAAAAACTGGAAAGAGTCCAGCAGAGGGCAACAAAAATGATTAGGGGGCTGGAGCATGTGACTTATGAGGAGAGGCTGAGGGAACTGGGATTGTTTAGTCTGCAGAAGAGAAGAATGAGGGGGGGATTTGATAGCTGCTTTCAACTACCTGAAAGGGGGTTCCAAAGAGGATGGATCTAGACTGTTCTCAGTGGTACCAGATGATCGAACAAGGAGTAATGGTCTCAAGTTGCAGTGGAGGAGGTTTAGGTTTGATATTAGGAAAATCTTTTTCACTAG